ATTTGCTACTCGCGATGAGGCTAAAACATCGATTTCAACGAGTTGTTTCCAACTCAAACAATCCAACTTCACCCACAGGCATTCAAGCAGTTATATCAACTAAGCATCTAGCCACATGGAAGCATGCTGTCATGTTAACATTCCACACTCATGCGAAATGCTAAAAGCATAAATACTAAATCGTACTCGTGCCAAAATAATGAACTAGTCAGTAACATGCATGATCCTAGTCCATGTTGAGTGCCTATTGCAACGCATACAGAATACAATTAGGATAGGCTCGGCTAATCCTAGAATGGCATGTAAAGATGCAACCATTTGATGCACGTATTCAAGTTAGATTTGAAATATTATGCTGTTAGTATGATGCGCCGAGCCGGTGCATGGCAATACTGATGAATGATGCACGCATGCATAGGCATAAGGAATGCTAAATTAAACATGCCCTAATAGTAACCACAAAAGCAGGTAAGTAAAAGAGAGAAAGAAGTGGGGGTTGGAAGACATGCACACACGCACCCACACTTATTATAATTTGCCCTCGTCGGAGGGACCAAAAGAATAATACAATTAACTAACCTACAAGCCTAATTAATTATTACAGACAAATTAAACTAGTTTAAGCAAATTAACTAATCTAAGAAAGCAGTAAACAGTCTCGGGAAGAGGCCCAATGCAATGCGTGTTTGACTCTGCTCGAAAAGCCACTGTCATGCAACAGTGCCTCTGCTTTGACTGTTATGCTCCTCTGAAGACAGCACAAGTCCCAGGGTTGCTTCTCTGAGTGTTGTGGAACACCACCGGCTAAGAGGAATGGCCACCGGCCAAGGGAATGGTCACGGCCACTATATTAAGCTATTAGCCATTGATGGATGGCCGGTCGGCACTGTAGATGGCCGGCCGGCCAAAGCTTCCTATAGAATCTGTTTTTGACAGCAGCAGAGGGCAAAACTTGGCATGGCAAATGCATTTCAAGCAGATGTGTGCACCACCACATCCTATCATGTTTTATGACTCAAAGGGGACATAGTTCTCGATTCTCGGACCCCAATCGCGCATTTCAATACGTGATGGCCCAAGGAACCAAGTTGTGCATTTTCAATGTGAAGTGAAATGCACATAATCAAACAAAGGGGCTCTACCTCTATCATACTCAACTCAAGAGGTGAAGCATGCATGCAAATGGAATGCAACCTAGATATGGAGGCTAAAGATGCAAAAATGAGCATGCAAGGCATGTGAAACTATGCTAGTGGCAAACATGTAACAACATGTAAGGTGGACTAAGCATAGGAACACTGCAAAGCAACTTAACCAATGAAACACATGCAAATGCATCATGATTTCAAGCTAGCAATAACATGTAATAGGCCAAGTATGCAACAATGCACAACGCAAGCATGCTATAAATATATGAAGGATGGACTTAAACTAATTTAGGCAGCCCTCAAACAAGCCTAAAACAGTGGCGCATCATGCTCAAAATGATGTCAAAATGACATACAAACATGCATGCACGCAAGGACCAACACTTAGGCATATAGAGACAACTCTCAAGCACACTTAAGAGGATGCAACATGGACAGATGGCATGCATATAAAGCTCTGAAAATCATGTTGTAAAGGTACCAAACCAAATAAACAAGACAAGCTAAACATGCAACAACGTCCAAGATTCAAGGGCAAGCCCAAAGAGGCTTAAACCATGGCTAAGTCAACCAAGCCTCACAAGGCTAAGAGGACTTAAAACAGGTCAAGGCAGGCCTAAGCAAGGCTAAGGATACACCTAGATGGCATCTAAGTGACCTAAACATGCAAGCATGCACAAGGGCCTAAACAAATGGCGTAAGACAACAACCTTTTAACACATTAGAGGGGCATCAAATGCAAGCATACAAGCATGCTAAGTGGACTGAAATGGCATGGTAAGTGGTTCCAAACCACTGAAATAATGCAAGTAATGCAAAGCATGCTCATGACATCACACATTCAAGGCCTACAAGCTAGAATGCAAAGAAACTATACAAAATCTGTTAAGCATGACCAAAGCGACTGAAAACAGAGCTAAAGCACACTGAAACATACACAAAAGTTTCACAAAGCTTGGCCAAAATTATGCTAGAACAAGGGTCAACACCTAAAGCATGTTAAGGCCTAAACATGGCATTACAAGACATGTATGCAAAGCATGCAAGGTATGTCTAAACTAACTTAACACAATGCTATATCATGGCAATATAAGCACAAAAATTAGTTAAGGCATGATCAACATGAACCTAAACTAGATGCTCTCTCAAGAGACAAAAATGGCCCTTTTCAAGGACAACAAGAAGAGGGGGTGGCCCTCTCCTTCTTAGGACCTCAAGGCACCATCCTCACCACTGAAATCCCTCAAGATTTCAGTGGTGAGGAGGCCCAAACACAATGGTCCCGGAGCTCACCAAAATGGCACAAAAATAGAGCCTAATAAGGCTTAAGAGGGGTCAAACAGCCTTAAAGCTCAAAGTACTCTTAAACAACTATTTAGAGTAGGCAAAAACAAGACTTTTATATGTTATACACCAAGTCTAAAAATAGTTGAAAGGTAGTCAAAAAATCTATGCAAAAATGGGGTAAAAAAAGCAAGAATGTTACCCTTGAAGACCCTCTTCACAAATGGTGGACCAGCTGCTTCTTTGAGCTCAAAACCACCCAAGAACACCAAGAACAGACCTCTGGCCCCTCAGCAACCAAGAAAAGGTGTAAGACTAGGTGTTTGTGTGCAATAGTAAGACTAAAACACACACAAGGCAAAGAAAGAGAGAGATATAGAGATAGAATGGATACAAACCCTAACCCTAATATCAGAGGTCTCTCTGGAAATTTTTTGTCTAACCTAAAAGAGAGAGAAGAGGCCTCATCTTATAGAAGACTCAGCCTTGTAAAGCTTCCAAGGCAAGCTAACAAGGTTGAAATCCCTCCATACACGTGTATGGAGGGGAGCAAAGGTGGGCGCCAACTATCACAGCTAGCACAAAAATATCTGCAAAAGCAGATGAACAGTGGTCGGCCGACAAAAAATGCAATTTGACCAAAATAGATGGTTGGTCGGCCACAAAAAGTGCCGGCCGGCCAAACATTTGGCCGATGGCAACAAACCAATGGCCAGTGGCCTCAAGCCATGGCCGGTGATGTGTGGGGATGGCCAACAAGCCATCCCCTGTCCCTCACAGGCAAAGCACAAGTGTTTGGTGCAAAATCAGACACAAAACAGTCGAGTCGAGAGATCTTGAGGCAAGGCGCGCGTGGCCTAGACCTCTGGGAACTCAGGATGAACACAAACACGGATGATCACCGAGTGTTCAAGCGGTGACATCCAAGTCTTGAGGACGGTCAAAAATGGGGTATCTACAGTATGCAACCTCCCCAATCCGCTCAAGGATCTCAAAGGGACCAATAAACCGAGGGGACAACTTCCCACTCTTCCCAAACCTCATCAAACCCCGCCTAGGTGATATTTTCAGAAAGACGTGATCACCCACCTCAAACGCCAAAGGCCTCCTCCTACGGTCGGCATAACTCTTTTGGCGACTCTGAGCAGTAACAAGCCTCCTATGGATAAGCTTAACTTTCTCCGTCGTTTCCCGCACCAACTCAGGACCTAACAAAGGTGCATCACCTACCTTGACCCAACAAACTGGAGACCTACAAGGTCGGCCATATAAGGCCTCAAACGGTGCCATGCCAATACTCGATTGGAAACTATTGTTATAAGAAAACTCCACCAAGGGCAAGTGCCTCTCCCACGACCCACTAAAATCAAGAACACAGCCTCGAAGCATATCCTCAAGGATCTGAATAGTATGCTCGAACTACCCGTCAGTTTGAGGCTGATAAGCCGTGCTAAAGGTTAACCTAGTGCCTAAGGCACTCTGTAAACTCTGCCACAACCTAGCAGTAAAACGTGGGTCTCTATCTGAGACAATTGACACTGGGACTCCGTGCAACCTCACTATGTCTCGAATTTACAAGTCGGCAAGATGATCTACCGAATCCCTCACGCGCAT